TGTTCTCAGCTGGGCAAAAGCCAGCATCTGCAGCCCAGGGGAATTCTTACCCTCTGTGGGAAAACTGTGGGCCAGTTCTCTCTTTGGGCAAAATGAATGGACGTGTCTTCTGTGTAGTGAAATTTGCTGGCTGCATCTCAATCGGTGAGCCTTTTCTCTTGAGGGGCAAAACTGTTGCCTGCAAATCTCCAAAACTAAACTACCATCTGCCTCACTCCATACAGAAATTTCTGGTTGTCTCCCCATTACGGGGAAATTGTCAACCACATCTCCAAATGGAGAAGCCTGCCAGCTGCATTTCTCCATTGAAGAGATGTCAGCAGAAGTAAGCAATGTAAAACCTGTGCACGAGTCTCAGCGTACTCCTTCCTCGTCACAAGCAAACATTAACATCTCTCCCATCTGCCAAGATCGAGGCCAAGGTCATGGTGGCCTCAAAATGACAGACATTTAAAGCAAAGACATGCACATCAAATAATAGCCCAGAAGTGACATATTTCAGAGGTGACACTAAGTGGACTCAGGTTATATTTGTATATTTATGTGTAGATATATAAGAAAAATAAAGAGAGGGAAAAGCATAGGCTAGAAGCAGCCCAAGTTCTGTATTCCTGCCAGCTATGTATTCCCAAGGACTGTATTCCTGCCAGCTATGAGGACACCTATATTGACTAATTGAATTCATGGGAAAGAGGCTAAAAGACTTAGAAATGTTGAATGAATTCATAACATGCAATACATAGGAGCTCAAGAAGTAGTTGGTTTTAAGAGCGAGGTAATTCCTTGCAGCCTAGATTTCAACTCAGTGTCCCATAACAGGAGTGGGGAGAGTAGGGGAGAGTCCAAGGCATACATTAAGTATATCCAAGACATGAACATTGTGAGTATGGGAACAGAGCCAGTGTACTGTATGGAGAGACGGGTGGGCAGGAGTGGGTTCTGTGGCAGAGGGTTCAGTCTTGCTGGTCTGTTCGCAGTTCCATAATGAGAATAGTGGTAGTTGCCAGCTCATACATTTGAGCATTAGATGAGATGATAGATATATAGGTACATGGTATGTAGATGAATACATAGGTTCAAAGATAGATACTTAGGTACAGAAACCCTGAGGAGTAAGAAATGGTAGTTTATGTTGTATTGACATCTATACAACACATACATATGCCCCTGTTGGTGAATCTGCCATATACCCGTTGAGTAGGTCTAGGCTACCAGGATCCGCATCAGGAACATATCTTCAGGAGAGAGAGCAAAGCCTAGTGTATCTCACATGTTCCTTCCTTTTCTTCTTCCATGTCTCTTTCCTAAAATCTTGTTGGAAACTCTGAAGTTCAGCAGGTCTCTAAAGCCAAGCCAAGGTGATCTCTGGGGAAAAATTTAGGAAATGGTTAATGCTTTGCCACAATCCTAGCAAAATTTGGACATCTCTGACACTGAAACAGAAATGGGTCCTCGGTTCCTTTATTTTGCCCATACACAGCTTATAAGATGTTAAAACTGAATTCACAATTGTATCTCCACTTGCCTAATTGCACATTTGTCTCCTCCAGTCCTCTGAGCCACTGAGACCATCTAGTGTTGTTTGTACGTATTATTATTTCAGGGCTAGCCGCTTGGTATTAGGTAGCTACACCAATCAATACAGTGTCCACAGCCAGTCACTGACAAGGACAGGCATGAACTGTATGTAGCACAGAGCTTGTTGCATGAACTGTATGTAGCACAGAGTTTGTTGGCGCCTCCTTCCCCAACTCTCCCACCTCTCTCCAGGATGGGATGTTTTACTTGGAGTTTCCAAGTCCCAAGGCTAACAAGATTACTGGGAACTGAGACGAATGTGAAACGTCTTGTGCAGTTCTCATCTCTGAGGGTGCCAGTCAAAGGCCAGGGGCTGCAGAGTGAGACCCTGTCTGCAGCAGCAGATAAAGAAGGAATGGACAACAGATGTTACATGTGGTCGTCCTAACACCACCACGCCCACTACTCTTCACAAACAGTAGCTTGAATAAATTGGTCTCTTTTTTTCTGAAAGAGAAAGGAGGGAGGAGGGGGACGGGGCAGTGATGTCAGTAGCAGCGGCGGTGGCGGCACCCAGGACCTTCAGGGTCTCTGTCTCTCCCTTTCCCTCTCCCGCTCCAGTTCATTTCCCAATTCTCTAGGTCTGTTCTCATTGCTAAAGGATTTTTGCTCTTCTAAATTGTTTTGTAGACAGCAGTGTTTGAATTTGGTTCCAGTTTAACTCAGCAAGGTTTGAACAGGCATTTCTGCGCTTGGCCTCTCTGGGCACTGAGCCTTCTACCCAAGCAAGTGAATGAAAAGCAGAAAACAAGCTGCCCCGAAAGCCAGCGAACCCAGAAACCTCAGGGCAGGCTATGGTTCGGCCTCAGGTCCTCATGTCAGTGTTTACTAGGTTGAACCATAAGCAACTGCCATTTTTTTTTTACATTTATTTTTTTCTTTTTTTAAAATTTACTTTTATTTTATGTACAGTGGTGTTTGGCTGTGTATGTCATGTGAGGAGTTACAGAGAGTTGTGAGCTGCCATGTGGGTGCTGGGAATTGAACTCGGGTCCTCTGGAAGAACAGTCAGTGCTCTTAACCTCTGAGCCATCTCCCCATCCCCTCTTTTTTCATATATTGCATTCCAACCACAGTTTCCCCTCCCTCCACCCCTCCCAGTTCCCACACACATACCTTCTTTCTCTCTCCCAAATCCATTCCTCCATTCCCCTTCACCCAAGAGCCAGCCTCCCAGGGCTATCAACTGAACACAGCATAACAAGTTACAATAAGACTAGGCACAAACCCTCATATCAAGTCTGGACAAGGCATCCCAACAGGAGGAAAAGGCAAGAGCAGGCGAAACAGCAGAGACATCTGTTAGGAGTCCCACAAGAACGCCAAGCTACACAGCCATAACATATATACAGAGGGCCCAGCTCAGACCGATGCAGGCTCTGTGGTACCATTTCAGCCTCCGTGAACCCGTATGAGCCCTATGTAATTGATTCTGGGTGCCATGTTCTTGCTTTGCAGGTGCAACTGACATTCTCGTAGCTGAATATCCTCAGCAAATGCATACATTTGCTTTACCACAGGCTAAGCACACAAGTCAAATAATGTTTTAGCTAATCTGGCTTTAGACCCAGTCAAGCAACAAACATTTATTGAATATTTGTCAGTATGGCTATGGATACAAGGAAAACTACAACCAAAATCCTTGCTTCAAAAGTCTCACGTTCTAGTTAAAAGGAAAAAAAACAAATTCATGAATTATTAAATGACAATGTAAGAAATTATGCATTTGTTGGGAGTGAGTATTTAGGCAATTGAAAATGTGATAATGGCTTCAGAGAAAAGAAGAGATCTTGAGGGAAAAAAATGTATGGTGGTGGTTTCTGAAGAAGAATGTGAATCAATGAAGAAAACATCAGGCATTGTGTGGAAATGGAAAATGCCAAAATACAGCCCATGTAGCCAATGTAAGTCAGAGAGAAGACCTGGGTACCATTTATGATGGTTTCAGTAACATATTGTGGAGCCATGCCAATCAGAAGTGGAAATCAGCTACATCCAGCAAGAAAGAGAATCTAAAAATCAGACTTAAGTAGATAATGTTTCTGAAGGACATTGCAGCCACCATTTACATGTTAGAGCACCTGAGTCACCCAAGCTAAGGACAGTCTGACCTTTGACCTAAGACAGTTTGGGGGTTTTCTACACTACAATCCAAGAAAAATGAAAACACATCCATACAGAGAACTGAAAGTGAATATTTACAGTGCCATTAATTGTGTCAGTGGGAACAGCTTACATGTTTATCAACAGAATACCACAATTCCACGCAATTTTTTAACCATGCAAAGAAGATGTTGCAGCCTGATGAACTTTGAAAAATAATATGGTACTTAAGTCTGGCACAAATGACCTGTGTTCTATGGTTGCATTTATATGAAATTGCTAGAATAAAAGCCCAGAAAGTAGTTTGTTATTAGGGTTTTGTCCTGGTTCTGTTTTGTTTTGTGGCAGAGTTTGTAGAAACATGGGAATTTAGATTGTGGTATGATTACATAAATACATCATCATATGTAATTCTGCTGAGTTGTATTTTCAAGTAATATAGATTACAAGTTTTAAAAAAAAACTGAAAAATGTTTAAGTATGTAAAATGACTCCAAGGGCTGGACACACCAAGTGCTACTTGCCTAACACACAGAAGACTCTGGGTTTGTTCCCTAACACCATAATAGAAAGAAAAAAGGAAAGGAGAGAGAGAAGAAAGAGAGGGGAGCGAGAAAAGGACAGAAAAAAGAAGAAAGGAAAAGGAGGCGAGGAAGGAAGAAGAAAGAAAGAAAGAAAGAAAGAAAGAAAGAAAGAAAGAAAGAAAGAGAGAGAAAGAAAGAGAGAAGGAGAGAGAGAGGAGAGGAGAGTGAGAAGGAGAGAGAGAGAAGGAGAGAGAGAGGAGAAAGAGAGGGGAGAGAGGAGAGAGAGAGGAGAGAGAAGAGAGAAAGAAAAGAAAAGAAAGAAAGAAAAGAAAGAAAGAAAGAAAAAGAAAGGAAGAAAGAAAGAAAGGAAACAAAGAATGGAAGGGTGGATAAAGAAGAGGAAAAAAAGAGGTGAGGTAAAAAGAAAATCAAAAAGAGTTCTAAGATGTCTCCTGATATGAACATGCACAATGACATCCAGAGATGAGGGAAAATGTGATCCATATCTAGAGCTTTCAAAGAGGCAGTGTCCCAGCAAGCAGAGTGTGAGACAGGTCCCACACCAGGTCCCACACCAGTTCCCACGCCAAGCCCTTGAAAAAACAGTAATCCACCATTTTTTTGTTTCTGTTTTCAGGAAGCTAGGGCTGTTGGCAACTTCTTTATATTCTACAGACAGCTGCCCTACTTAGAAAGCTCACTGTTAGCTCTCCGGCTGGCCCCAACTTCAGAGTCTGTTCACAAGCCTGTGCTATATTCATCACGTTTTGCTTTTGTCTTTCTTTTGTTCTACAGTTTTTGAAGAGCCAGAAGATCCAAGCAACAGATCCTTTTTCTCTGAAATTATCTCTTCAATTTCGGATGTGAAGTTTAGCCACAGTGGGAGGTATATTATGACCAGAGACTATCTGACCGTGAAAGTCTGGGATCTCAACATGGAAAATCGCCCCATCGAGACATACCAGGTACAGACCACCACCTAGGCCTCCGGATCCAGAACACTCCCTTTGTAGGCCTTTGCATCAGCCTCTGCCTGCAAATGTTTAAAATGCAGAAAAATAGAAGGCTGTTCGTAGTGATGTTTGATAAAGCACTGCAGGCTGCCAGTGCCATGGGACTTCAGATAAGGATGTGCGTGGACCAGTTTTACGCAGTTATAGCCTAGAAATATTGTATGAGGTACGGACCATAGTTAGAGTGAGCATGACAAGCCTGGCCCTGTTCCCATGAAGCTCCCTAGTGAAGGAGCTGACTGGTAGTCAAGGGACCTGCTGAGACCAGGGGAGCCCAAGGTGGGGAAGCTTTGCCGGGTAAGGAAGGTGAAGAAAAAACTGTCACAAGCCTGTTAGAAAGAGGATATGCTTAGAAAAATACCATGGGCTAAAGACCTGGAGTAATAAGAGGACTGTGGTTGAAAAAGTTTACCTTGATTGTGGAACAGAGAGCAGAGCCTGGAGACAAAACAGGGTGGAGTGTTACAAATTCTGCTACGCAGACCTTTGCTTGTCTCAGGCTGGTACAATGGAGATCTATTTAAAAAAAAAAAAAAGTCTTCTACAAGAAGAGGCATTGAAAACAATGGGTTTCACCTTACAGTGTGACAAGGGGAGAGTGCTGATGTGGCCTGAATGATGGCAGGATGATGGAAGGTTAGGGAGGATGGAGAGTCAATAACATCGCTTGCTTACTGAATGCCGAAGGGTGAAAAATCAAGGAGGCCATGGAAGAGGGTCTTGCCTAAAGACCTGGGTAGAGGATGGCAGAAACCCTGGTGGAGGGAACAAGAGAGAAGGCATTCCGGGTATTTTTATTGGAAGAGCTTGACCAGATTTGGAAGTAGAAAGGATACTAAAAAACCATGCAAAGGAAAGAGAGATCAATCAAGGGACAGAAATAACTGCTCTTATTTTAATATATCTTTCATTAGATAAAAAGAAATGAGGCAAGGAAGGGGGAATCTAGGCAGACAGATTTGATTTATATTGTTTTACTTGAGATGCATTCATATATCACAGAATTCCCTCATTTCAGAGTATGTAACTCCCTAGAATTTAGTATATTCACAGACTTGTAGATCCATTACCAACTCCAGAACATTTTGTCACTATGATTTTAAAAGAGCATTCTGGTTGCACTGAGGAGAAACACTATAATAGAGACATGTGAAGAGATCGAAAGGATAGATTTTAAAGTTATTGTAAACTGCCTTTTTATTTTTCACAATTTATTCATTTTATATTCCAATTGTAGCCACCTCCCTCATCTCCTCCCCCTCTCACCCTCTTTCCTTCTCCCCCCCCAAACCTCTTCCCCTAGTCCACTGAAAGGGGGAGATCTCCCTCCCCACCATCCAACCCCTATCAAGCATCATCAGGACTACCTGCATCTTCTTCCTCTGTGGCCTGACAAGCCTCGCCACCAGGGGGAAGTGATCAAAAAGCAGGCAATCAAGTTCATGTCAGAGGCAGCCCCTGCTTACTTGGGATCCCACGTGGAGACTGAGCTGCCTATGGGCTACATCTGAGCAGGGGGGTCTAGGTCCTCTCCATGCACGAATAGTCCTTGGTTGGTGCATCAGTCTCTTCAGGGCCTTCCGACCCCTGCCCAGATTTTTTGGCTTTTATGGTTTCCTTGTGAAGCTCCTGTCCCCTCCGGGTCCTTATATCCACTCCCAGACTCCCTATCTTAGTTAGGGTTTCTATTGCTGTGTTGAAACACTATGACCTAAAAGCAAGTTGAAGAGAAAAGGCTTTATTTGGCTTACACTTCCACGTTGCTGTTCATTATTGAAAGCAGTCAGGACAGGAACTTAAACAGGGCAGAATCCTGGAAGCAGGAGCTGATGCAGAGGCCATGGAGGAGTGCTGCTTAATGGCTTGCTTCCCCTGGCTTGCTCAGCCTGCTTCCTTTAGAACCGAGGACCACCAGCCCTGGAATGATTAATTGGAAAAATGCCTTACAGCTGGATCTCATGGAGGCATTTCCTCAACTCAGGCTCCTTCCTCTCCAATGACTCTAACGTATGTCAAGTTAACACAAAACCAGACACACAATCTTTGGCAAATGGGTAATATCAGCCTTAATGAAGGTGTCAGCAATAGAGGTACCCAGATTCCCAGTATAATTTCCAAAGTAAAATCACTAAGGTCTGGTGTGTGTTATAAGAAGAAAAATGCGAGTGACGTCCCTAATTTAATGCCTTTAACAATGAGAGAAGCAGAGTTGCTTTTTTAGTAGATCAGGAGATTGGGGGGTTTATGTTTTGAACATGTTAAGCTAATGAATCATAAACAGGGATAGGAGGTAGACAGACCAGTGCGAGTACATAGTAGATCTTCAAACTCAGATCTAGAAGAATCCCCCTAGATATTGAGTATATTTAAAGAGACTGGGACCAGCCCTGCGGGTCTTGTGTTTTCAGGCTGAGAACCGGAAGATGACTTGGTAAAGGAGATTGAGAGGAAGGGACCTGAGAGGTATAAGGAAAACTCAGAGAAGTGTTCAGCTTTATGAGTGGATGAAAGAGAGCAAGAGAGAGAGAGAGAGGGAGGACTGAGCACTGGGTTTAGACATGGCAACATTGACAATACCCTAACAGGGGAATAGGGTTACTGAGTATCTTGTCAGAGGACACTCAAGAGACTATAAAGAAGAAAGACTGTGAGCATATAAGCTAGCTATGAAAGCAGAGAAGGACTGGTAGGATATGGGATGCCGGCAGAAGGAAGGTGTAGTGTGTTTAGGGGTGACTGGAATAAACAGTGGAGACACAACTGAGGGAGCTGAGTCCTCAAAGGACACAAAAAGGGATATAGAGTCCAGGAAAAACTGGCTTAAGGGATGTGAGCGGTTCATCTGTCAGAGGAATAAAGCAGTGTACATAGCTCATATTCAGGGAACTAATAAGTTCCATGCTGAGACTCATATACCTGCATGTTTCCTTCTATTTTCTCAGTAAAATAAGAAAACTCATCTGCTGAATAGGGGAAAATCTTTAAAATATCCATTTAACAAAAGGAGGTACTGTAAAGCCACTCAGGGGTCAGCTTAATGTCTATATTGTTCACTTAAAACCTGAGGATCTTGACAGGAGCTAGGGGTATAACTTGGCTGGCAGAATACTTACCTAGCTTTCAGAAAGCCCTTGGTTCATCCCCCAGGAACGCATAAACTGGGCATAATGGTACAGACCTATAATCCCAGCACTCAGGAAGTGGAGGCAGGAGGAGCAGTTCAAAGACTGCTGGATCCTCAGCCTCGGATACATGAGAACTTGTTTGAAAGAGAGAGGTTTGTTGAACACGCGCACTAAGTGCAGTTGTCCTGACCGACTGACAAACCTAAGGGATCTAAGAAAGAACAAAGCGCTCAGGTCGGTGGCCTTGAAGAACTGACAGAATCAAGATACTATGAACTAAAAAGAAAGTAGCAATAGGAGGAGACTTGCACAGAAGATATTGCTGTAGTCATGTGACGGTAGGGGCAGGAAGGAAAATTCACTGAATGTGATGGTAGGTAAGAAGCAGGGTATTAGGGTCTCGAAGAATACTGACAGGAAGAAAGAAAGTTGGAGAGAGAGGGAAGTACTCAAGTTTCTTCAAGGAATGACACTGCTTTTGATGATAGAAGACCAGTGGATAGCAAGAAGTTGAGTTTGAATGTATGACATCAGTGGAACTGAGAACAAGACAGAAACGGTTGTCATGAGGAGCAGGGCAGCCTGTTTTTTTAGCACATGGACTTGGGAGCAAAATCCCACATCAGCCCCTGGGGTGCCGGAAGGAGTAGCAGTGTCTTCAGAGACGAGAACAGGAAGGAAAGGGAGTTTGAAGATACTGGAGTATCTGAGGGCCGATGGAGTGCCACAGTACATCACAGTGGAGCCTAAGGACCAGAATTCGGGCCCAACAGATAGAGTGACTGTTGTGGTACACACATGGTCCAAGAGCTGTGTTCTCCTATAAATCCTAGACTTCCTGGCTCGGCTCGGAAGTTACTATCCCCCACTAGTGCCTCAGCCCTGGGTATTTGGCCCAGCGTAAAACTAGTGCCTTTTTCCAGCTGCAGAAAATAAGCCATACGGTTTCACAGGCCTTGATACAAAAGAGAAGGCGATGTGACTTGAACCAGAGTGTGGGTGGATATTTCAGTGGGCAGCCTTCCAGAGAGCCTTGACTAGAAAAGAGAAGATTAAGGACACTTGGTGGCAAAAGCAATTACTACTTTTATTTTAGGAAAAGGTTTTTGGAACAAATGTTAGTTTTAGACCATGGGTCCTGGTTCTGAAGCTGTGTTCAGCTCGTGCCAGACTTGGAAATCATATGCGAAGAACACTAAGAAATAGGTGGCCCAGCATGTGTATTGAACTGAAGTACCACATTTTAACTTAGAACGGTGTGCCTCAGAGCCACTTACACTTAAATACTACATCAGTGTACGATCTAAAATTGATAAACTCTCAGTGAATATCTGGAATGGTCTTGGGAAACGCACTGTAGACGGGCACACTACACAACCTTGCCCGTGGACGTAGAGCAGAGATGCCCAGCTTTCTAATGCAGTGGATCTCAACCTTCCTAATGCCTGCACCCTTTATTACAGTTCATGTTGTGGTGACCCCCAGCTGTGGAATTATTTTTGGTGCTACCTCGTAACTGTAATTTTGCTGCTATTATAAATCATAACATAAATATCTGTGTTCTTGGGCGGTCTTAGACGACCCCTGTGAAAGGGTTGTGATCCACAGTTTGACAACCACTGACAGAATGCTGCTGGAGCAGCACTGCCTTCCCAGAAAAGAGCAGGCAAAGAGGAAGAAGTGGTGGACAGTGGACACGAGTGGACAGTGCTCTTCCTGTGCATCCACCAACAGAACCCAAGCATGTTGCTGTGACTATAGACTTCAGTATTATTTGCTGTTCTCAAACTTCCCTACAAAATAGAGGACCACCTACATCTGACGGAC